GGGATGCATATTAAAAGACAGAAAGTCCTGTTCAGTAAACACATTGAAAAAGGACAGTCTTCCTAAAATTGTATGATCAAAAACATGTATGGGGAGTTTGGAAGTCTTGAACCACTGCCCTTGAAGATACAGAAGTATATTAAAACTCCATTGTGCTGTTTCTGTGTTAGGCATGATGCGGGTATTAACTGCTAGTAATTGCATAGAAATAGAGGGAATTCGGTGATCCAGGTCCAAAAACGCCTTCCTGTTCCTCCCTGCCGGCTCTGTCTAACTTCTGCCCTGCCTCCTTCCCAGATTGACATGGTGCAGAGCTCTGATATGGCCGGGTACCTGTGTGTGGCTGAGAATAAGGTGGGCTCAGCTGAGAAACTCTTCAGCCTGACTGTACAAGGTGAGTCAGAAGTGTGTGAACTCCCAATAGTCCAGTACAGCTGGTGAGCAAACTGCCTGCCTTACACTTCACAAGCTAGAAATCTAGGATAGCTCATGTCTTCGGTTTCTCTTGGCATTTCAGTTGTGTGGTTTAAAAGAACTGTTTTAAACTGAAGGTTCATGCGGAGCAGACCAAACCTGCTAAATGTACCTAATTACCCATCAGCATCAGTTTGTTTTCTTGCAAATAACATGAAGCGGTAACATGAATATTTTAGGCGACAGTGGATAGTGTGGTATAAGCTCTGTTTATTTTTGTAGTCTGCAGTGTTAGTAATATTGCTGTTTGTTGTGCATGAGGTTTACTGCAGTACTGGAGTGATAAAAATTTTCATGTGATGGATGTTATGAATTAAGGTGGCGGCTGCACTGCGGTGTATTAATGTTAACGCTGGCCCACCTGCCCAGTTCCTCCTAGGATTGTGGGGGCGAACCCGGAGCACATCAGTGTGATCGAAGGTCACATGGTGTCACTGCTGTGTGACGTGCAGGCGTACCCCTCCCCCGAGATCTCCTGGGCTCGAGATGGGAAAACTCTGCATTTTGGCACTGGCCTCCAGATCTTGCCAGGTAAGAGGTATCATTTCAAAAGACATCTCCTGTATCACTTGGAGACCCACAGGTCTGTTATAACACTCAGACAATCGCCCTTACAGCCTGTCAGTTTCATCAGATGTGCTACACTTTCTTCCTCTCTGAGCTCCAGCCGATACACTAAGACACAGTTCAGTCCTCAGTGTCTCAGCTCTGGCAGTCGGGCTGGAGTCTCACCTTGCTTCCTCTGTACTTATTTCAACTCCTTCCACTCTCAGGCCTGCTGGGTTCCCTTTTCATTCTCCTGTCCATCCCATCAGTCAGCCCAAGGGAAAGCAATCATGGGACTAATCCATGGCATTGCAGGACTTGTCTTGCATTACTTCAACCAAAGCTTCAATTGCTTAATTGATCCTTAATTTAAGAAGGGCCCTGTTGCCTCCTTTGTTTAAGTAAAGCATTAGTAACACAGACGTACACTGGAGTGTTATGGATGCTTCAAACTTGCCTTTCCCAGGCTCAGACAAACGCAGTTTCCATGCATGTCTGCTCAAGGCACTATAATGCTCGCTGTGCCCATTGTACATCACTGTCATCACAGTTTGTGTAACCGTGAGGTACGTACCCTGAGCAATAAGGAGGGTTGGACAGGACCCCTTCGTACTGGATTTCACTGTACAGACAGTACCACCAGATCAAAGTGTCACCTTGCCGGGTGACAGCCCTGCTCGCCCAGTGCTGCGGAGCCAGTGTGGACCTGTGTTCCTCTCCCCAGGGAGTCAGGTGCTGCAGCTGCCCAGGGCTCAGCTGGCTGACGCGGGGCTGTACGTCTGCACGGCCACTAACCCTGCTGGTCAGGGCGAGAAGCACCTCCTCCTCAGCGTCTACGGTGAGACACACTCTGATGTCACCATGTCGATGTCACCTCCACTTTCAAGTTGTGGAGGAGAATGCAGAATACTTTTACACACTTGATGCAGAATAAAAGTGTTTTGAGACTAACAGATGTTGTCACAGTGAGATTTGACCTACGTATATTGTAGTGATGTATTTGAATGTGTGTAAGCAAGGGATGTCATTAACACAATGCCTCAGTTGTGATAGGCTAATGACAGGTACTTTTCCTGATGCAGCCCAGCAAAGCAGTAGCCACATATGTAGCCCCACCCCCTGTGATAACCACTCCCATTTCTTGTTAAAGCCCCGCCCACGTTTAAGCCACACCCAGATCCAGACAAGGAGATCGTGACCCCTCGTGCTGGTGGCTCCGTCACCCTACACTGCGATGCGCAGGGTGTGCCAGAGCCTGAGGTCACCTGGTACCGCAACGGGCTGCAGCTGGCACCGGATCACGGGCTGAAGATGGACCGACACCGGTTGGAGATCCAGGGGGTGCAGGTACTCCGATTTCCATCACTCAGCCACGTGATCTGTGGCGACACCGTGAACAAAATAAAACCAGGGCTCCCCGATTCAGTTCCTCGACATCACCTCACCTGCTTTTGCTTTTTGCAACTGAGCTGACCCTGTCGTTGAGGCAAGCAGCACCAAATCCCTGGAAGAGCACTTGTCCTTCACAGGTGACCACACACACACGCACACGCTCTGCAGAAACCAGTTAACCCAGCCTGCATGTCCCTGGGAGCTGAAAGGCGACCAGATCACCTAGAGAAAGAGAAAACACCGCAGGCAGAACAGTCAAAGCAGAAGGCGGTCCTGAGGCTGTGAGGCTGCAGCAGTCACCTGCACACCTCTGTGCTGCCCTCTGGAGCAGCACTTGTTTTAAGGTGTGCTCTGTGATTTCTGTCCTCAGGTTGCTGATAGTGGCCTGTACACCTGCAAGGTGTCAAATATCGCTGGACAAGTGGACAGGACATTCCGCCTGACTGTGCACGGTAGGAGTGGCCTGTGACTCTCTATTCCCCCCATCTCTGCCTTTCATAATGCAGTTTTGAAATCGCATTGATCGTAAGCTCGCCACTCACTGTGAGCCCCTACAGTACACAGGACACCAGTCCTCTGTGGGATAAAGCTGTTGTTGTTTAAGATGATATTTATTGGCTCTCAGTCCTCACCAGATTACGGCTAAGTCTTACACTTAGTGCTAAGTTTTCTTTGTGGATTTTAGAATGAGCCAGGTATCTGGTTTGTATCGATACGGGCCGCCGGACAGAGGCAATCTCTTAAAGAACCTCGCCTCTCTTCTAGTGGTTTGATTGGGCCCAGGAGGTGTGCTCATTCAGTTTAAAGAGCAGGGGCAGCCCGTTACACACCGAGGGAGATGGCGGCCTTTCTAATTTTCCTTCGGGTGTCTGGAAACCTGCTGAAATGTCGCTTCCCAGTTCCCCCTGTCCTGGACCAGCCCCTCCAGCAAACGGTGACCAGGACCCTGGGCACTCACCTGACGCTCCTCTGCGAAGCCACAGGTGTCCCAGCTCCCAGCATCACCTGGCTGAAGGACGGCACCCCTATTGGTAAGAACAGGCAACAGCAAGAAGTCGGCTTGTTGCTTTGCTTGTCAGCAAGGGGCAAAGCTAGAACTGCAGAAATTTTCGTACCAAATTATTTATTTTATTTCCGTTAGACTGTCCTCAATCTACTGCACTGACGCCGGTCTGCAGATAAGGGCAGCAGATCATTGCAAACACACTTCAGTAATAAGACAAGTACAGTACCTCTCTGAATAATATTGACCTCTGCTGTCATAGTTTAAACAGGCACATAATGCTGACTGTAGTTTGATTTTCCTCCCCAGCCTATCAGGTAATTATCTCCATCCGATTAAGGTTCTCCAATAGAGGCAAAGACGTTTGAACCAGTGGGCAGCGTTTCCCTGCCTGTCAGTTCCACAGCCGCCCTGCCCTGAACGTTTTTCTGTTCATGCCTGGTCTGATGTGAGGGGAGGGGAGGTGACCAGCCATGTGACTTTGCCCTGTGTGTGTGTGTGTGGTGCACAGAGAGTAGCATCCAGTGGCGCTGGGCGGCAGGGGGCAGCAGGCTGGAGCTCGGACCCCTCCAGCTCTCTCACACCGGCACCTACACCTGCCTGGCGAGGAACAGCGAGGGGGAGACGCACAAGGACTACAGGGTCACCGTGCAAGGTAGGCCAGGCTGTGGCTCAACCTGTAGTCTTTCGGAGAAGGTCAGTTGTGCTAAACACAGAATCCCAGTCAACAGAAGCACATTGATTAGCTCAGGGCATTATCCTAAGAAAATTCACTCCCACTTTTAAAAACTCATGTTTTTTTTTTGTCTAAGGTTTAGGCGGCTTGGGCTCCCTGACTTCAGAGATATTTAATTGTTTTTTTAAGGGGTGGCCTCAGTATACGGCTGAATTAATTAACTATGGTGGTGTTGCCCAAATGCTACCCATCCCTGTTGAGCTACTGACTGATGTCTCTTCCCCAGAGGCTGCTGACGTGTCAGTGTGGTTTTATTTCAGTGCCTCCCAGCATCCTCGGCTCGGGACGCCCCACTGAGCTCAGCGTGCCCGTGGGAGAGGAGCTGACCTTGGAGTGCCTGGCCGTGGGCACCCCGAAACCCGAGCTGAAGTGGCTGAAAGATGGGGCACCCTTGGACCTGGCGGACACAGAGCATCTGCAGTACGTTTCAATACTTTCATCAAACACCTGGCTTTTCCATTTGCATGCACCAACAGGCATAATATGTATTATAATAAATGTACTATATAACATATCTAGGGGCCAGTCGTGGTGCCACACACAATTTGTGCTTTTCTTGTACTAACGAAGCTTTATTAGCTGTTTAATCTCTAATTTCTCTGCCTGGACCTAGTAGGCAGAACTTGTGCTGTACGGCACCGGGGGGCTGCAGTGACCCCTACTGTACCTTTCACTGTAGCTGTGAAGTCTAGAATATTTCATAATGACGGGGTATATAAATCGAACACCCCCTTGTCATGCATCTGTGGTAGTCTCTTCTGTTGATGAAGTATCAGACTGACCCATGTCAGCGTCGGGAGTTCCCCCTGATGCGGACAGTTTCACTAGAGCTCGGTAGTCACGCTCTCCAGCTCAGCGAGGTGCGGTGTCTGTGTGTGTTTCAGGGCGTCTCCTGACGGGGCCTCTCTGAGGCTCCTGGGGCTGCGGGCTGCCGACTCGGGGACGTACAGCTGCCTGGCGGAGAGCCCTGCCGGCCGCGAGAGCAGGATCTACACCCTCACGGTGACGGGTCAGTCTGGCTCTTCCTCGTTCGCGGACCGGATACTTCCGTCACGGATTCCTACTGTGGCAGGAAAAATGCACACGCAGAGAAAACACATGCGGCAAAGGGGAAAGCATGCAATCGAACCCAGGGCTCAAGGGCTCTGAGGGACTAGTGCCACCTTTACTGCTGCTCCACTGTCACCGTCCTTATGGGGATATACACATGTAGTGTGACTATCTGGCCAGCAGAGGTCAGCAGTGACTGTTGTCCTGCAGTGCAGTGTCTGTATTTCTCTCTTTTTGGGAGCTCAGAGTCTCCTTTTGTGCTCTTTTAGTGATTTAATTTAGTCGTTTGAAAGGGTAATTGAAAGAAAATTGACCTGAATTTCCGATCTGAGAAGAAACAAAAGCTGTGAAATGACAGAACTGTACCGGATCTGTGCCCACCGTAGTGCCCCCTGCCATCGCGGGCTCTTCGGCGGAGCCCAGGGCGGTGACGGCGGCCCAGGACGGCGTGGTGACCCTGCAGTGCCAGGCCGCGGGCACCCCCCCGCCGCGGCTCACCTGGCTGAGGAACGGACGCCCGCTGAGCCTCTCCCCTCGCACGCGCCTGCTCTCCTCGGACACCGCCCTCAGGTCAGCCCCTGTCCGGACCCCCGACGCGCTCCTGCGTGTGTGGGGGTGTCGAGTAGGGAAGCGGTCTCCCAGCCGACGGGATGGTGGCGTCGGAAGGGGGCAACTTGGCCTCGGCGCCTCAGATTGAAGAATGATGTTGCCTCTGGAGTGAAATGAAAGGTTTCATTCACCTGGTATATCAGGGAGAGTACAGGAAACTTAATAAATTCCTTGTACGCTTTCTTTCCAGCTTTAACTGACGGGCCTCGTGCTGTGCTTTGTGCCGCAGGATTTCTCCAGTTCACCTGTCCGACTCCGGCGTTTACACCTGTGTGGCCCGCAGCCCAGCTGGACAGGCAGAGCTCAGCTATGACGTGCAGGTCCAAGGTACTCCTGGGAGACAGAGGAAGTGATGTACAAACGAAACAAAATCGCACTGACGTGAAACAGGTTTTGCACGCTTTCAGGAGCCGAAGGAGCTCAGATTTATTCAGGTGATAAAGGCACTTGTGACGTGAAGGCCATTAGGCAGGTTTCTGCATTTTTTAGAAAGGCAAGCGATCTTTTTGTTTTCTTTCTGAAAGGTTTTTGTTACTTTCTCTGTGACCACCTGAGACAAGCAAGCCCCTGCAGGGGGCTTTCCCTGCCCCCTGCAGGGCGTGACGAGTTAACTGCCTGTGTGAAGATGCACTTTCACATGGCGGGGAACAGAGGAAGAAGCACAGCTCTTTCAAGTCGGTCAGAGAAGCTCTGGAGGTCCCTGCTGTTACTGCCGCTAGGCTTGTGTGGGTCAGCGAGCTGCGGGGTCAGCAGCCTGAAGCTGTGCGAGATCTGAAAAGAGCTCGGAAATTTCTCTCAGTCCCGCTGGAGAGGCTTCAGCGTCTCCCTCTGTGTCTGTGTGTGTGTGTGTGGCAGTGCCCCCCGGAGTGGATCGCTCCGAGCCCTCGGAGCAGGTGACCGTGGTGAAGGGGTCGGCGGTGACCTTCACCTGCGAGGCCCGGGGCGTCCCGCCGCCCTCGCTGTCCTGGTTCAAGGACGGCCAGCCCCTCTCGCTGCACCGCAACCTGCTGTCGGACGGGCAGGAGACCCGCCTGCGCCTGCCCGCTGTCACGCCGCACGACGCGGGGCACTACAGCTGTGTGGCCAGCAACCAGGCCGGCAGCAGCACCAAGACCTTCAACCTGACCGTGCTGGGTAAGGGAGGAGTGCCCCTCACGCCGGCGTGCGCTGCACCGACACGCACACTCACGCCGGCGTGCGCTGCACCGACACGCACGCTCACGCCGGGCGTGCGCTGCACCGACACGCACGCTCACGCCGGGCGTGCGCTGCACCGACACGCACGCTCATGCCGCTGTGCGCTGCACCGACACGCACGCTCATGCCGCTGTGCGCTGTACCGACGCACGCTCAGGCCAGGTGTGTGTTGTATCGACAAGCACTCACGCCGGGTGTATGCTGTGTGCTGTTTCTCAGTAGTAAAGGAGAATAGAAAGCATCAGCACTAGGTGTCGAGCACTAGAATTATCGCAAAAGCAAGGCATAGCAGAGCGAAGGTACGGTAGTGCATGAGTAGGGGTGTAACCCCAGTGTCCTGGCCAAATTTCCCATTGGCCCTTCCCAATCATGGCCTCCTAATAACCCCCCTCTCTGAACTGGCTCCATCACTCTGCTCTCCTCCCCACTGAGAGCTGGTGTGTGGGGAGCGTTTTGGCTGCACACTGGTGGTGGTGGAGGGGATCCCCATGACCTGTAAAGCGCTTTGAGTGGAGTGTCCAGAAAAGCGCTATATAAGTGTCAGCAATTATGATTATTATCCTTCACTCTTTGTAAAGACAAAAACCCTCCAGCTCTCCGCCTGCTGCCTCTCGGGCGTGGCGCGTCCTGCCCTACCAGCGTGTCTTTCGCCCCTCCTGCGCCCCCGAAGCCGGCTGGCGTTCCTAACTCTCGGCCCTCTGCGGCCGCTTCGTCTCCCCAGAGCCTCCGAAGATCTTGGCTTCCGGGTCCCCGGAGGAGGTGTCCGTCGCCATCCACAGCCCCCTGGAGCTGGAGTGTGCGGCCGAGGGCGTCCCCCCCCCCACCCTGAGCTGGCTCAAAGACGGGCGGCCCCTGCTGGGGGCGGCGGTCACACAGAGGCAGGGGCAGCTGCTGAGGATAGGCAGGATACAGGTGGGCCCCCCGCCCGGCCAAGGGTTCGAGGCGTGGGAACTGATTGGCACTGGGACCCACGTTCCACCCGTTTTCTGGGTTACTTGCTCCCTGGGCTCGGAGATTCGTGATTTGGGGTTTGTGTGGTTGTGTTTTCTGAACCCTCTCCTGTTAAAGTGGTGCACTGTGGGAAATGCACTAAAGCAGAACCATCGTGGTTAAAGGAACAGAGCCGATACGGTGAAACCCAAGCCAAAGCCACAAAAACAGCGTGCACGCTGTCCAGAGCCAATACAGCCTGCCAGCAAAAGACACCTCAGGCTCTGTCTCAGCAGCTGGGGTCCAAACCAACACTCCAGTAGGCCCAGCGCCCCTTGACCCGTCCCCAGAGCCCCACCCTTAGCGTTGTCTCTCTTTCGCCCGTGCGCCGACAGGTGGAGGACGCGGGTCTGTACACCTGTCTGGCCAGCAGCCCCGCAGGGGAGGACGGGAGGAACCACTGGATCCGGGTTCAAGGTGAGGCTTGTTCGAGGAGCGCGGCGGGTAAGAGGCACCTTTCCGCCGTGGGCCTGCCGCAAGGTGAGCGTCTTACACAGGGCTCCTGCAGGCGGGAGCGGAGGCCCATCCGAGGCATGGCGGAAGGTGACCGGGGGGGTGGGGGCGGGTAACCTCCAGCCCTCGATCTCCTCGCTGAGCAGCAGGGGTCACAGGCCGAGCCGTAGCTCATCGGTGGTGGCACACGAGGTGGATATGATGAGGCAGTTCCAAGTAGGAGAGGACTCAAGGGGGTGGCGCTGCTGTGTTGTTCCAGTGCCCCCCACCCTGCTGGGCTCCGCGGACTCCAGGACGGTGACAGCAGTGGCCAAAGGACACCTGACCCTGGAGTGCCGGTCCGACAGCGAGCCCCCCCCCGCCATCCAGTGGCACAAGGACGGCGCCAAGCTGCAGGTGAGGGTGGGCACAGGCTCAGGGCAGCGGCTGTGTTTGAGCCTTTACTGAAAACGCCGGGGGGGAGGGAGACGCCAGTGAGCCCGAGGGCTGATCAGCCCGTCTGGTGGCACCTTTAAAGGGCTAAAACTGAAAATGGCGGATGGCGGGGGAAAAAATACCCGCGGCTCGACTTTGCTCGCCTTGATAGACCTGGGCCCTTGCGGTGGGGCACCACTCTCTCCCTGTCTCTGTCCAGCTGGGGGGGCGTGTCCAGAGTCTGGCAGGCGGTCAGTTCCTGGAGATCCAGGAGGTCGGCGCCCAGGACAGTGGGCAGTACAGCTGTGTGGCCACCAACGTCGCCGGGAGCAGCCGCCTGGAATTCACCGTGGAGGTGCAAGGTGGGCAAGGTCTCCCATGTCCTGCAGGGGGCGCAGCGCCGAGGGGGCGCTGCGTTTATTTTGAATGCAAGGCTGTTGGAATCTGGTGGTATAAAGGCCTTGAAAGCGGTTTCTCCCTCTCGCGTTTTCATTCTTTTGTCGTATGAATTGGTGTTTTTTTTCTCTGACCTGACAAAGCCTCCACTTGGGGAGAGCAGTTTTCCCACCCTCTGTGAGTCCCTGTTCATGCCTGACAGCTCCTCGTTATCCCTGCACCGCAGTGCCGCCCGGGATTCAAGCGGGCCCCTCGCTGGTCACCGCCCATGCCGGTCAGGGGGCCGTGCTGCCCTGTGTGGCTGAAGGACTGCCCGCCCCCACCGTCACATGGAGGAAAGATGGCGCCCCACTGGTCCAGGAGCACGCCAGGTCAGGACAAGTTGGAGCCACAGAGCATGCTGCTAGGGAACTGGGGGGGGAGTCCATCACTGGACATTCACCGAACATAAATACAGACAGCATTGAGTCCTGAAGCTAGTTAGGCAGAGGACGTACCTGCGCCCTTAGATGGTAAGTTTACCTTCACTCCCAGTGAAGCCCCCTCCCCACCCCCATCTCCAGCCTCAGTCTATTCTTTCAGGTGGGGCCTGACGGCATGGGCCAATCATTTTCAGGAGACTTTAATTAACAGACCCTCATTAGGACAACCTGGATTATTTCAGGTTTCTGGAGCCCTGTCACTAGCCTCTGTAAAAATCCGCCGACAGAGTTTGAACATGTTAAATGCTCGGTGGCTAAATTTCCTCACCTCGGCTGGCGTGCTCTACGTCTGTGCTGATTGCAGTGAGCAAAGACTAGCACCCCCCCCCTTAAGCCAGGAAGTCAAATTAAAATGTTACGTATTAGTACATCACCAACTTATCTTCCAGCAGGGGACCACTGTGGTATTTTGACAGCAAAGGGGATGGTGCTTTCAGAGGTATTTCAGGAAAACAAAACCCCACAGGGCCTGCGGGCTGTCTTCTGCGCCCCTGAAAGCTGCTGCTGTTGTGCCCCCTCCCCCTCCCCCAGGCTCAAGGTCCTGCCGGAGGGATCCCTGCGGATCGCCGAGGCCGGGGTGTCCGACGCGGGGCGCTACCTCTGCACCGCCTCCAATCCCGCCGGCTCGGAGCGCAGAGGGATCGACCTGCGGGTGCACGGTACGGGCCCCCTCCCCGCCGCGGCAGAGCGCCCCCTCGTGCGCGTCTGGGGGGAGGCGTGTCGGGCTCCGGCGCCCTTTTTTAAAGGGGAGCCGCGGGGCTGTTTTGATATTTCTGGGTTTCGAAAGAATCGGCACTGACGAGCGCATTTCAAACCACGGTGAAAGTCAAATGTACACAGTCGCTTTTAAACCTCCAATTTCCACCACAAGATAGATGAAGTTTCCAGGTATGTGCAGCTCCATATTCTGTGATTCAGAACAAGGCAACCAAACCTCTGGTGAGGTGAAGCGGCCATAATTCACTATTAGCACTATACACTATAAGCAAGCAGCCTTGTGAATACATCTCTTTTAATCCAATAGGAATTTTGCTTTCTGTTTTGACCTGTTTTTTCCAACAAATACCACTTGTTAACGGCATGCAGATCATGTTGGCGCATTTCTATACTTATTCGCTCGTATGTCGCATTACATCAGTCATTACGGTGACTAGTGAGCAGGAAGGGCCGCTATTCGTGAGAGCTCAGATGCGAGTTTGCAGTACTTGCAGTACTTTCACAAAGTTCACGATGTGGTGCTGCATTCGAAATGTGTAGGATTTGTCTATAACGTCCGTGAATTTACAGTGTGGTGTGCCCGAGATTTACTGACTGGCCTGAGACACTGGGACTGCAGCTCGGGTCACGGTCTCCGATTTGCCCTTCACTGGGGCAGGTTGTCCCCCCACCCCCCCCCCTCGTTCTCACCTCTCCTTTCCTCCGTGGGCGCAGTGGGTCCCTCGATCAGCCCGGGGCCCCCCAACGTGACGGTGACGGAGGGGGTGAGGGCCTCCCTCAGCTGCGAGGCCTCCGGCACGCCCCCCCCCCGGGTGACCTGGAAGAGGAACGGCTCCCCCCTCGACCTCTCGCGCCAGCCAGGGGCTTACAGGTGGCTCAGTCGCTTATGTCTGGTTATCAACACCCTTACAGAGCAGCAACTGCCGTGAAGGTGGTTCACACTGATGGGTTACAGGGGCTTATTTAAAGAAATGAATAATACCACTGCAGTGCAGGGGTTCAGTGCTTTCTGGCCCTCTGGGACTCACTCTGGTTTGTAATGAGATTGTGGGAGAGGTAAAGGCCTCCTATTGCCTTAGGAGATGTCACACCAATGGAAGAACAGATTGAACTGGGGTCACTGCGCAGGGTGCAGTGTTAGGTACAGTGTAAGGCCAAGTGGAATCATGGTAAAAGCGGAGCGCAGGAAGGTAGAGTATGGTAAAGCACATGTTGCCTACAAACGTCGTACAGCCGTGTGAGAGCTGCAGCAGCCGCCCCGGTCCCTCACTGTTCGGTGGTTTTCCTTTCCAAGGCTGCTGTCTTCAGGCTCGCTGGTCATCACCTCCCCGGCCAGCCAGGACGAAGGCTACTTCGAGTGCACGGCAGCCAACGAGGCTGGAGAGGAGCGCAGGCTCGTCGAGGTCACCCTGCAAGGTGCTGCCCATCGCCATGCCGACCCGCGCCGACCGGACTGGAGCTTCAGCCCCCAGGGGGCGCAAGCAATTGCTGATCAGATGTTTTTTTCAACGCCTTGTTGAGTTGCATAAATGATTTGGGTTTCTTTTTTGTCAACAATCGCCGCAAGAAAGTCTGGGTTAATCTCCAGTCCACCTCGGCCAGAGGTGCTGCTCCACACTGCCTCTTTTCCAGCTTGTGCTCAAACAAAAATTAGTGCAAGGAAAATATTTAAGCATTTCCTGTGACAGAGTGGATGAAACGCCCTTGGCTTTTAGAACAATACGTATAAATATTTAGGCAATTGATTCAGCTATGGCAGGGTGCTTTCTTGTAGTAAACTGGGAATTGTGTGAATTTCTTCTCCTTCGATGCCCATCATCTCGTTCCCTCTCTCTCTCCTCCTGCTGGGCGCAGTCCCACCTTCCATTGAGGATGATGTCACTGTGGTCACGGCGACCACGATGTCCCCCGTGATTCTCCCCTGCCA